CTGTATCGGTCGAGGCCCGAGGGTATGATACGAGTGTTCTCGTGCCGCACCACATGATACCGGTAGTCTACTCGGAACCTCTGGTGCCTTCCATAACGGCTTGAGCATACGCGGGACCTTGATTTAGAACAGGCCAAGCCCCGACATCCCCAACTATGATACAACAGGCAAGAAGTATCCTAACATGGGACACTTCTAACATACGGTGCACAGATAAATAACCGTTGTCTCACGTTCGGATACTTCCCGCCTGTAACCTATGAGGGGTATTGCGATTATAGTGCGAGGGGGCGAGAAGGGTGAGTTCGCTATCTTTCCTCACATCATGAGCAAAGCCACTATTACCGTATCTGTCTTTGAAGCCACAGTTTCTATAAAAATTGTGGATCCGAGCGGCGGCTGCATGGGGTGCGAATTTCGATGATGGTGTGAACAGGGGTGACGGCATCCTCTTTCCCACCCTCTTTCTCCCAACCATGCGGAGAGCGACAGGCCTGCCTCAAAAGTTCGCGTCCCCGGGATCCCTTCTCTCCACTCGTCACTTGTGCTCTTTCAAAAATTCGCAAAATTCCGCCCAACAGGGCAAACGCTCTTCCACCGCTGGGAGCTGGTGTGCGACTGTATTGGGGGTTTCTGGTGTGCTCCTACCGTACTAGTACAATACTTTGTGGCGTTAGTGATGCCCAAACGGCTTCAAATTGGCCCGAGGCATGGCACAGGTGCTCAAAAACCACGAGAGGAGGGGCATGCTCGCCCTGTTCGAGTTCCAATCGAGTCATGGACCGCTCGTGGGTGGGATGTCGTGCATTGCTGATCCGGTACAAGTATCATACTCGCGCAATGCTGCTGCGGTCGGAGTCCGGGTGGACTGCGGTTTCGGTACTTATCCGGGCGAAACAGCCCTGCAGTATTTGTATACCGGTACTGTACTCGAGTATTGTGTCCCCTATGAAGATACGCGTGCGTTACCGTACTCGAGTATCTGCTGGACCCGAGGTCGGCTAGGTGATACAGTGCCTTGAGGTGAGCAGGAAAACATCTGGATCGGTGAAGGTCGCACCCTCGTAGTACAGTCCAGGACCGGTGATGTACGAGTCCAGTACCCGTTCTTCCGCGAAAAAAAGGGTTGGTATACTCGAGTAGGTGGTAGACTAACTTAATAGTTAGCCAAGGGTAGCCCGACACCGAAGGGAGAACCGGCAGGAGCTGAGATCTTTAGCCCCAATAATTGAGGATCATTCCGGGCTACCTCATGACGAGGAAACTGATCCCCTGCTAGCACTCGCAATCCATCTTTCAAGTCTCCCACCGGTAATGTGTAATCCAAGATATCGCACTCGTGTCCTCCGATGGTGTGTGTCTGCTGCAGAATTATAGCGCTGACATAATTGCCTTCCACGACGAATACAGAGGGCGGCAAGGCAGATTCACTCTTTTCCTCTAGCAACCCGGTCACAGCCTCAAGTCCTCAGTGCGCTTGATGGGGGGGGAATCGGAAATTTATGAGGCTCAACAGGTCATTGATGAATAAGGGCGACTGAAGGGCGCCCTTTGTGGGAGGTGACACAGAAAAAGCATAGGGGGTACCGCACTCGAAGACTGGTAGTACAAATACCAGTGGAGCGGGAAAGTGACAGAACCCCTTCGTGGGTCGCGCGTAGCGGTATGATACAGTACAAGCAGCGAGGCAATTCGTACGTGCGTTGGGGTAAGTTACATGTACAGGTGCTCTGCTGCCCTCCCCAGCCCAGGCGTACTCGGCGATTTTCAGTCCGAGTGTTCAGATACTTTATGCCTGCTGTACCGCGGGTACCTGTATAATACACCTCCTGTTTTTGGGTGCTTTTGGCCTGGGGCAAGCAGCTTCATGGGAGAAGCCGTGATAAGAGGTTTCACACCGTGAATCGCGGGAGGGGGGGCACTGATTGTGCCTGGTTGTTTACGGGATCTACTGGGGAAGGGGGAGGGGTTGGCTCGTTGGCTGGTTTCACCCCGGGTGCGTGCTGTGACTCGAGATACAGTACCTGGAGATGAGATAATATAAATATCCCAGACCCCCCTCAAGTAAGGGAGCGCCGCAAACCGAAGGTTTATAAAAGTATAGACTCCCTCTTTCCCATGGAAACGCTGTATCATTAAGTGTTTCCCTTGCTCTCTTTAGAACAAGCACCCCCTACGGTACGGTACGATCACTGAAGATTCCCCACCATTTGAGTGGGTTTCCATAATTACCTCTACGCTCTCATTCCTCTTAGCGAAGAAACGCCTAGCCGGGGGTGATCGGCGGCATCATTCTTATCTAAAAGTCTAGATAGGCACTCAGAGTACACATAGCTCAAGAATTTCGTTCAGTTCTGAATGGCGGAGGATCCAGGACGGTGGGAGGGTCGGTGTTCAAGTGTGGGTATCCGTCTCTACAATTCTCGTTAGGGCTTAATCTACCATCCCAGCAAATTGAAGTTGAATTTAACGTTCATGTATGATAGGGACAGGCACATCGGAGACCTCAGCCCCCGAGCACTAACATCCCTCGTTCACTACCGCGCCTAGTCCCTTCGAGAAAACCTCTATTATTCACCTTATTCCTCCTCCTTCTGGTTTCAACCCCAGTTCCTGCAATTGCGAAAACGGATTTTGAAAAATGCGGCGTACGGATCAAAGAATTAGCGAAAAGCAACTCCCTTCCGCCCGAGGACATCTACACCGGCCCTGTAAAAGGTCCCCTGGGCCACGCACGAGAAAGCGGAGATCCAGTGCTCCTGGTAACATTTAATGCCTGCGAGAAGCACTGCGGCGCAACTCCAGAATACTACAGCTGGGAAGAAACTTCGGATACAATCACGACGTGGGTGCTCCCTCTGGTGGGTCTGGTTCTGCAGGCCCCCTTTGAGAGCAATAACTTCCTACAGACCATGTTTGTTGTATTCCGGTGGGTGGGCTCACCGATCGTTTCCATGATGTGTATCTTCTGGAACATGAAGGTTACCAGGAAGTGCGCTATTATGGTTGATATGAGCGTCGAGAAGGACGAGTACCCTCCGCCACCAAGCAATTTCGCGGAATTGAGAGACTCTTTTTACCTCCTTAGCGTGATCAATCAGTACGAGATCATTATCCACTCACAGCTGGAAGAACGCCACATAGAGACTATCCTTCGAGTGGGCCTGTTCGACAGGAGGGCTGAAGTCCAACGAATGAGGGCCAGAGTGGCCGCATGCATACGCCGGGAACGACGCCGGGGAACAGTCCAAGTGCTAGTATCGCTAGCCTGGTTTCTGGTGGCAATGGGAATCTCGATAAACAAAGCCTTCGGAGACCTCGGCGAGAACTCAACGGCTCATAACCTCGCACTGGGCCTGGTAATGTCCTGGCTGCCGGTTCTCATCGCCGCGACCATCGTTGACAGAAACCCGATGGACGCGCGCTACGTCCGCAACAAGTTGAACAACTACTTCCGAGTTATCGAGGACGTTGAGCGCATCCCCGGTACGCTCCCGGGGGTCACCGGGCCAGCCATTTTCGGAGAGTTTGCGGGCCAAGGCCGCGTCCGCTGGCATTATGGTGTGGCTCATTCATTCCTCAGAACGCTAGAGGCCATGCACGGTATGGGGCGCGGTTGGTCAAGAACATACGCAGACAACGACGAACTGTCCACCACAAGAACCTACTCCGGCCTCGTGAGATTCGATTTCGGCGAAGTGTGGCAGATGATAGCTTCCTTCCTGATGGTCTGCTCCTGCAGCCTGGGGGCCTTCTTCCTTAGCTACTACACCCCCACGGTCGGCCTCGGCTGCCGCTCTGGCGGGTACATGATCTTTGGCCTCGGCGCCTTCGGCTGCCTGATTATGGAGATGGCCGCATGGGCATTCCTGTACCCAGGTATCGGACGGAGAATAGCGCAGTGGGTCCTACGCATCTGCGAGTTCGCAAACTCCTGCTGGCTCGTGTACATCATCATCGCACAGACTTTCGGAATCTACAACAGCTGCCGTTGCAAGTCGAGCATGTGGGGCAGTGCTGGCGGCTACGTGGACTTTGAGGGTGTGCAGTACTACAAGTCCTACCACATAGAGAGAAGCTGGATGTTGGGCACCCTCATCACCTGCATCTTCTTGAGTATTGGGCTTGCGTACGTTGTTGAGCAGTGGTGCACCCAGAGTTTCCTATGGACCCAAGATTGGGACTCGGCCATGAACGGGCTTTGGTGGGTGAGGAAGTGGAAGTGGGCCACCACCTGGCCCAGGTTGGCGTTTGCCTGGGTGGCTGGGTGCATGGTGATGGCTGAGCGCTGGGCTCACGCGATTTTGGGGGGTGAAAGACACGCCGAGGACCGTAGTTTGCTCTGGAGTTAGTGAGTTTTGGCTTTCACATTATATAAAGAGGGGAGGGGAGTTGGGATTTCATACTTGTAACTTGCTGTTTTACGGGTTGGGCATCGGACATTGGGACTGGGGCGTTTGGCTGGGCTCATGTATCATTACTATTTTTCCTTCACTTTTTTTTTCTTTTCACTTTCACTCGATTTCGATTTGGTTTGTTATGGGCCTGTATTTCTGGGTGTTGGATAATTTAGCGTGGGAGTTCAAGAAATTCTTACAAGTTTTTCTCACATAATATCACTCGCTAAAAACCTCGGCCATAGTTCTCTCAGATCTTCAAGCCAAACAAAAGCTCATAACGCCGGACCCAAAGTCGGGCACAGATACCTTCAACAAATGGGCTCACCCTCCAACGGCAAATACCACCCCTACCACTCTTTCGATTCAAACCACGCCCCCCCCCCATGCAGGTTGGCGATGCCCTCCAGTAAGCACCCTCCACTACATGTTAATTTTGGAGCCCTCGATATTTAATTAATTCTCCCAAGACCTTCTCGGCCGCACCGCTTCCTAAATCCATCGTAAGACCTCGCAGTTAAAAAATTAGGAGGAAAAAAAACGCCGGAGGCCAAAGAGGAGCCAAGAAAGTATATCAGCATTACACTTGACTTGGGAGATTTCCCCCCCCCCCCGGAGAGCTATAGTCGCACACCCTGGATGGAACTCGTTCTCTCTAACAATCCCCCTCGAGTTCATTAGAAGCTAGTAACGTGGGATATCCATTAGTATCTTGCTGCACCGATCTGACCGGTTTTTACTTGAATTTGGATACCTGCTTACACACCAAGATATGGTCCATTTATAGCTGGGAGCGCTTGTACCGGCATGACGATACGAGTGATTCCTATCCTGTACTGCGGGGGCTTTAACAGGGTGTGGCCCAACCCGGGTAGATTTTGGACGGGCTCGTATTTGGTGATGAAAGTAACTCGACGCTGTCTCCTTCACCCTCCCTTATTGTGCGAATCACAAGACATGGAATGCACGGATGATCACTCGGGGGGAGTGTACGGTATCATCAAGGCCGAGAGAGTAAGAAGAGAGGGGGGGGTAAAAAAAAAAGGGAGCAGAGTGCGGAGGGGAAGATACTGGTATCGTGAATAGATCTCTTACATCCTCCTCTTCCTTTTGCCGGAAACCCGGTCCTTGATTCGTTCATTTATTCATTCATTCATTCACCTCACGGGTTATTTTTTTTTTTTTTTTTTTTGTCTTCCTAGCAGGCCATCCCCACGCCAACTTAATCTCCCGAAAACTAACCGTCCATCCGCAGAATAGCGTGAGACCTTGAGGGAAAATTACGCCGTTCAGTGTTACTATGGGCATTTCTGTAAAGAAGAAAAGAAAAGAAAAGAAACTACTATTAAGGACTAGACTAAGTATGATACTAGCAAGGGCCGAATTGAAGGTCGGATGTACCATACCGTATCATGAACGCCCCGAATGATCCGCTAACGCTCTATGATACAAGGGCCGGGAAGGGCTGGACCTCCCAGGAGCCCTTGTTCGATTTTCTCCCGAGGAGAGCATTATCATACCAGAATTCCTTAGGAAGGGAATATGACACTGATCAACATCCCTGGGATGGGCGAGGGCGGAGGAGGGTAGGGAACCACTCCATAGTTTCCTCGGGGTGTGTTCAGAACTGAAGCAGGATGTAGCGAAAAAAAAAAAGTTTGTATGATATATCTGGGCCTTGAATTCTGGACGGTTGTTACATTCTCTGAATGCCCTGCTTTGGATGGTGATGATCTGGCTGGCGTTTTTCAGGAAAGGGTGACGCAGATCGACCTAACTTGGTACCTTGACCGAGCTGTTTTTTTCCAATTCCCGCCTTCGTCCGCTTCCCCAACATATTATTATTATCATCATCATGGCTTCTTTCCCAGGCTGCGGGAAATCGCGCTACCGCAATACCTCAGAGGGAGGTTATAGAAATGGGTACCGTAGTCTGTCAATACAGTATTACTATTAAAGTTACAAGTTTAGATATTTCCCCTCACACCCCGTGAATTTTTATTTATTTATTTATTTGTGAGCCTGGGCGCATTCACTCGTTCCCGGAATTGAAAAGGCCTGTTGGAAGGTATATAATAATATATGAATCTTTTGTGTGCTTCTGGTATCATAGTCTGTGTTATCACATGCGCCGGCCATACAAAGTCACTCGTTAGACAATATGGTTCGGAGAGTGAGCTATGGATGGATGTCACGGCGTGCGGCGCGATACAATAACGGCACGCCCGGGGTAGCTTCACAATAAACTCATTTGACGCCGTTAACTGGGATGGTATTTAGAAGAAAACAACAAAAAAAATCACTTTGGATCCCAATGGAGATGCAAGAGAGGAGGGGGGGGGGTGCACACATGAAGCACAAAAAAAGAAAGAAAACCCAATTTATATATATATATTTTTTTCAAACACAGGGTTAGAACCCAGGAATTGTGGGTAGAACTGTTGTGATTCCAACTTGGCTCTTCTCCACCACCGTATCATCCTCCTGAACACAATTCACCCCATTTGCTATATTATCCATAATATCATAAACTCGATACCGAAGCCACATATTCTCCCCCAGATCCATTACAGGTTAGATATCCAGACCCCGATTTTTATATAAGGGAGATTGATTTAGTCTATCCGCACCTTCTGCGGCTTGAACTCCTAGGGCAGAATGCAGGATTACCCAGCACCAAAATTTACAGTGCGGGATACCGTTTGCCGGTGTTGCACCTCACACCTAACACCCGCGACCCATTGCATGGTACCAATGGTGTCATATACGACACGGTAGCGTGCGATATAGTTTGAATAACCGGTACTATGCTCAGCGTCGGGTGCAAGGTTGTGAAGGTAGGTAATGGGTGTCTTCCTACCCGCACGGCTATGATCGAAAGGGGGGCGGGGCTACAGGCTTGGGCACTAATAACATGGAAAGAACGGAAAGAAAGGATGGGAGACAAGCAAATTACCACCGGGCCGTTTAATTGTGCCACCGGGTCCTTGAAGTGTCCTTGTTGCCCTTGTAGTCCTCGTCGTGGGTGGGTGTTTTGGGGGGGTAGAGGTATGATATGAGGTAACTCGTTTTTATATCTCCCCTTTTGGGGCCTCTCTCCCACAGACGTTCTCCATGGTAAGGGGGAAGCCACAGCAAACAGTCACCTCACGAACCTTATGGAAAGCCACACACAAACACAAGGAACACGAGAACAATATCCTCTACAGAACTCAAGGATATGACTGTTAGAGCAACAGAGACAACATCATATCGTTTCGACTACCCTTTGTCATATCCACTCGCCCACTCAATCGAAATGTAGGAGCACAAAAAAGCGTGGTTCATCCCAAACCCCAAATAAAATTCGCATGATATAATACAGAAAAGTAAACCCCATCCGAAGCTATGATACAGTTACAGCCCGCAAACAACGTAGAATACAAAACCCCCTATCATACAACACCCATTCACTCACTCCCCATAAAAAAAAATCGAAATAAGAGAATAGATAGAGAAACCATAAGAAAAGCATGAATTATTTCAAGCTCGCAGCGCCTTCCCGACCTTCCTCTCCCCCCTCCTGCGTCTCCTAACCGCAGCAAGAACTATTGCCCCAACCTTCCCGGCAACAACCTTCTCCTCCCATCCCTCCGCTTTGACCTGTTTCTTCCTAAGAAACCGAGTGACAGCATAAGTCTCGCGTGTACTAAGACGCAACCACATCCCTTCGCGACTCTGTACGATTTCAACATCGTCATCTTCTAATAGGCCATTTGCCGATAGTTTCGGCGGGTCATCAATTGATACCAGGAGTCTGCGTCTCCAGGATGCCGGAGGTGTGGTTTTACGAGAGTGGAGGATTGTCTCGAGGAGCTTCCAGTGGCTCTGTGTCCAGCCGGATGATTCTGGGCTTGATTCTGGAGCCGAGAGTTGGATGAGGTCTGGAGGGAGCATGTTTGATGTACTGGAGGCGTTTGAAGCGGCAGTGGTCGGGCGGGCCGCGGTAGTGTTGGCGGAAACTTGAGCTATGGCTTGCTCTCGTGTCGATGGTTGGTACATTGTTGTTGGAGCGGTTGGTGGGGGGGAGCTACGGGAGCTGACACTCTCACCACGGATGCCGATGGTGCTACTTCCAATTCCATACTTACGGCCGGTACTTGAACTTGAACCAGCGTTTGAGCTTGGCCCTGTTCGTGACTTCTTCATTGCCGACGCAGGGAAGAGTTTCTCCGGAGCTGCCTCCTCGTCCATTCTGATACGATTGTAAATGCTCTCCTCAAATGCCTTTGTATCTTGACCTGTTAGACTTAAACTGGATTCGTCTGTTACAGCTTGCTCCCAAATTGTAGTGTCGATTGTGATAGCATCAGCATCCTGCGCCTGCCGTTTAACCTCTTCCCGCTCCTCCCGCCACTTCTCCTCAAGCAACGCAGTCCTTGAAGGAGATGCGTCAATGGTGATTGCCCCGACCTCTTCAGCCTGCCTCCGCACCTCCTCCCTTTCCTGAGCCCAGATATCTTCCAGCATTCGTGTTTGCTCTCCAGGCTGAAATCGAACAGATTTCGAGGGCGATTTGGTAGGGGAACGATTTAGGCGGACGGTCTTAGCAGTCTTGGCATTGCCCCATTCTGCATCGTCGGTATCAGTCCTCCGACGTTTCTCGGCGGCCTTAGCCTTGCCCTTCCCTTTGCGATCGGCACGCTTCGTAGATTCCCCGCTCACGCTAGGGGAAGCGATTCCATTAGCTATCCTGGGAGAAGCGGCTTCCTTGATATGAGGATATTTAATAGCCTCCCCATCAAAATCCCCTTCTTTTCTGACCCGAACACTAGGGCTACCCTCCTCCACCAACATAACTTGATCGCCCTCGCCATCATTGTCCAAAGCCCCACCAAAGTGCTCACTTCGCATCTCCATTCCAGGCGAACTATCCGTACCCATGGAGCTCCGGAGATCTTCCCCTGCTCGTAGGATACTATCTAAACCGGGGGTTTCCCTTGTTCGCCTCTTTTTGGAATCGCCATCAGGTAGCCGGGGGGGTAGCTGTGGTGTCTTCTCGGCTCCGGGAATGTGTGGAGTAATCATGTCTCGGCTGCTGATTTCACGACTAAACTCTGGCGGAGGTGAACTACGGAAGAGTCCCGGCGGGATAGGTGCGCCATAGAAACTCTCAACACCAACCGCCTCGCCGTCAAATAGCTCCACATCTGGAGATTCGATGGGTAGGCTCTGTTTCTTGGCCACCCGAGGAGTGTAGGAAGGTCCGGTATCGATATAAGTAAAGTCCGGTAGTGCCATGTCCACGTCGGTGTCGTCCTCGCCCTCCTCCTCTTCCTCGTCTTGAGTAGGTAAGGTTTGATGATGACGTGATGACGAATCACGAAAGTCCGGAAGAAGGCTGTGTGCGCTGATGAGTGAGAACCCCTCGCTCTGTTCAATGGACGCTTCTTCGTCCTCAGTGCCCAGCTCGACCGGAGAGGGAGAAGGGGAAGGAACAGATGAGATATTTCTCGCAGACCTTCTCGTCGGGTGCTTTGAAGGCTCCACAACAGGAGGTGTAGGGGAAAGCAGTGTGTTCGGGTCTACACGAGAGAGAGCACTTCGGTTGCTTGAAACCGACTCCTCCTCTTCCACTACTGCAGCACGGGAGGACCCGGCAATAGCGTTATTACGACGAGTAGTGCGAGCTGAAGCTGCTCGAGGCTTGACTGGCGATCTCGGTTTCCGGGGAGATCTCTTCGACGTCTAAGGTAGTTCATTAGCAGAGATAAACACCAAGGAAAGCTATCACCGGAAAAAGGTGGTTTGTGCGGAATTGAACAAATTAATGTAAGGGGATTGAGAACAAGTAGGCTTGAAATATCCACGATGTCGTCTTTGTGTCTGCGTGCATTGTCATGCAAAGAAACAATCGCTTCAGTGCAATGAATGACCGACCATAGGAAAAAGTATATTTCTCACCTCGGCCGGTTTTCCCGCTTCATCCTGGGTTTGAGGTGCCGGAGTCTCCTCCCTCTCTGCCCCATTCCCTTCATACTTCTCTTCTACCGGTATCACAGGAGCAGCCTTTCTTCTTGCTCTTGGGGCGTTCTTTGGTACTGGTGTCTTCTTTGGGGTTGGAGATTTCCTCGTAGCAGTCTTACTAGGACTACGACTCCCTGCTCTTGCTCTAGCCGGAGTGGTCTTCTTCTTTTCTCGTCCTGTCCGCACTGGTTCGGGGCTCAATCCTCTGAGTGGTATCTTTGTGGTTGTAGTTCTTGTCCGTGTTTTCCTTCCCCGCGACAGGGTCACGTCTGCATCATCGTCCTCACCAACGTCCCTCTCAGCCTCAACAACAACACGGAATCGCCACGGCGAGCTAGTAGTCGTCGTGGTAACCTTCGAGGGTGTCGATATAACCGTAGTCCTCCTCTTTCTAGGGCTTCGCTTTGTTTGGGGAGTGGAGGAGATGGTTGGGCCGGTCGATTGCGAAAGTGGGTCTGGAGACGAGCCGTTGCTCGCCGATAATCGCGAAGGCATGATGCGATGAAACTTCTTTATTGGTCGTCTCTCTTTATTTCCCTCTTTCCGTAACAGAGCAACAATCTTCAAGCCGAGGGAACGGGGTGTGAAATAGGTAAGGAATACCGGTAAATTATCTGCGGGATGGGGGGTTTAAAGTGTGTATTGTTTGTTTGGTTAAGCTCCTTTTTCTTCCCATCCCTCCCGCCACTTTCATGGTTCAGGGTAGGATGCAAGGGGGGAAGAGCTTATCGACGTGTTGCCACGGCAACCAAACACGTTTTTTATGCAAGCTGAGAAAGTGCCTTGAAAATTGGCTGTCGTCCCTTTTTTATACACACACCCCGGAAGGATCTGGTCTAGATGAAAATCTTGCATTGCATAATTACTTTCCTGCATCTCTGTACCTCAGAATGTCTTGCTCTGCCCCGGGTGGAGGATTGTGCCTTTTTGGAGTGCCGGTAGGCGTTGTTGGCGGTTAGGGTAACGTCTACGATACCCGAGTAGAAAGTAAACAAACAATAACCAATTCCCTATCATTATGGATCGCTTTTATGATTTCATTCACCGAGTTCTAAAAATAACGGGGGGATATATCGTCCATTACCGGTATTCCCCACCATTTCTATCGCGCTCCACTTTACCGAGGATACAAATGCTATATAAGATCTCACTACTCGGGAAGGAGAAAATTTTGCCCGGTCGTCACTATTGGCGTCTTGTGTGAAACTTTTGGGAAATGAGGTCTTGGCAACGGCATGCCGTTGACGGAGGGGGAACGAGTGATCTCGGGTGAAATAGGATGTGCAGCATGGAATAGGGTCTGCCGGGTTGATGGGACTGGGAGACAATTATACCGGTATCATACTGTGTATAGAATAGCGGTAATAATATTCATCGCTTCTTGTACCGTTAGCCATTACGCCTTCCGTAGGTTCGACATGTCGTGGTATCCTGAGCCCCGTTAGGAGCTCTCGTTGTCCTTAGACGCACACAGGCGCCGCTATCCATCAAACTAGGCCTATCGCAACACGCCAGCGGCGACTGTCCGCCGTAAATATCCTCGACTAGCTCCATTCATTACACTATATAAGAGTAATGGGTTCACTGAAAGTGCACTGGGCCAAGTTTCCCATCCAGTGAAGCAAACACTACCGGTATTTGGCCCTCCAGGCAATACCACAGATCGGGGCCAGCCCCGCGAACCAGGGGCCAATTTCTCCAAGTAAATCCTTCTCCGGAAGGGCCAAGGAATATTGCGGGAGCTAACTATAGGACTCTGGAAAATTGGCCCAGGAGCTCTACTAACTGATATCTTGGGCACTGGATGGGCTTCCGTCTACAGGTTAGTTTTCCACGATAGCGAGAGAAGGGTCCGCCTACCTGTGGGCTGGTATGGGAAATCGTCATAACTCACTCTTGTCATTAATATCGGTGCTTCCAATGAAGCGCTCCCGGTCTGTAGACTCGGATAGACCATAGTCTCCGTACAAGCATACTTTTCTCGGGAGCTAACCCTAGGCTAGCCAATCATCGCTTCGAATAGTTTCAGGTACTCGTGCGTCTCAGCCAAGATTTAGCTTCCCCATTTGTAGTAGTGTGCGGGGAGAGACAATTCAGATTACGTAAATCTGTTGCAAGTTCGTCTTTGAGGAGGAGACGATAAATTTAATGCCTAACTGTATAGCATATCCGGCCGTTCCTGAGGATATTTTACAAGTTAGTAATTACTGTGGTGGGTACTCGGGGGGGGGCGATAGTTCAGAAATAAATTATATTGCAGGCATACCAGTACGAGTATATGCAAATATACTCATTCCGGGAGAAAGACTCGCTTGCACTCCCTACGGCAAATGGGGAAGCCAAATCTTGGCTGAGACGCACGAGTGCCTTGGCGCGTTTAACGATTCTCCTGGTAGTCCCTTCATCAACATGAACCTTTATGGCTATGGCAGAAAGCCTCATTCCCGCATGCCAATTTAATGCTAAAATTACCACTCTCTTTGGGATTGGAATACAGGCAGCAGATCCAAGGCCCTGTGGCATCTCAAACTCTCTTCATCATATAATCTTTGGCTTGTTGGTCAGGCTGTTGGCTACTTGTCATAAGGTTGAAGTAGTCCCGGTTCTTAAAGTTCTGAGTTTCCAGGCCAGAGAGCAAATTTAGCTTCCCAACATATTTTGTTGGCTGAGATATCCAGGGATGAGCGATTCCATAATAGGAACTAGCAGAGCAATCCGGCAACATGAATACAGACAAAGGGAGCCATCCGTTCCTAAAGTCGCATAGGGAAAGAACACCCGCTCTGGTTGATTCCGGTTTCAGAGCCTACTCCCACGCTGAAACTCACGCATGAGCATATTGTCATCACAGTTGCTGCTGTCGCTATTTAGATCTTGGAAGCAATCGGAGACCACATTTTTTTATCCTTCAGGGTCCTATCCCTTATATCGCGATTTGGATTCTCAATCGGTTAGCGGGTTCCGGATACCGACCGAGTCTTCCCCATAGTAGTTGGCGGAATATCCCGAAACGTGGCAGATTGTAGGCTTCATATGGTGTCACTCGGAGATAAAAGTTTTTTTCACAGACGAATCCGTGATATATCTAGTCCCACAACCTCCGGAGGGGGATCACCAGGCTCACCCATAAATTGATCCACGACTGTAGGCCTGGTCTCTGAATTTGGATGCTTTTTATAAAAATTCTGTTGAGCTACCATACGTAGTGTGGCTCTCACCATTGTGTTTACAAAAGGAAGTGTGAAGAATTAATTTGATAAACTCTGACCGGGACCTTTCAACTGATGTCCCTTCAGCGAAAAGTTCACTGCGATTGAGAAGAGAGATATCTCCTGTAACGTACAGCCCACTCGCCGACGTGATTGATGCGTATGATAAATAGGGGCTTATAAAAGTACCCAGGTCCACAATTTCGCCAGCATAGCCTTCTCCGAAGGCTTCCCCCCCCCCATCATATCCAGATAACCCTCCAGCACTGGCTGCACTGCCAAAACTCCAAGAACCAAATCATCGATCTGGGACCTTTTATTATTATTGTTATTATTTACAGCAATGCGGCGAGCACCCTGTATCAGGGCCTTGGCCGTACTGTCTCTCTCCCTATGCTCATACACCACCGTGCATGCCAATAAGGACACCCAGGCGGCAAATAATTCCGCGGGTCTTGAGATTACACCTACCCTAATAGTGGAGACTGAGTCCGGGCCTTTGGAACTCTACAACACAGACCCAGCAATCGTCTCCGAGCCCTCCAAGCCCGAAATCCGTGCCGTCGCCGCAGCTCCCACCCCCCCGAGAAGCACTCTTCCCTCCAATCTCTCCCTTCCAACCTCGATCTTCCCCTCCGATGATCCCATATTCGCGATAATCAATCAGTCTCCAGCCCGAAAAACCCCCATTACTCCCGGGGAGGCCGCAACGATCTGTAAATCGCCTGCCTGGGAACTCAAATTGTCGAACTGGATTTGGAGCAACGCTCATGAATGGCTCGAGCTGTACACCCTCAAATTTAAGGGCTCCTACGAGGTTCGTCGACATGGACTTGTGGGTAGTATTGGACACAGATACCTTGGTGAGCCGAACTTTCGATGCGGCATTGGGATGACACAGAGCTGTGTTGCCTGGTGCAAGGATATAGTGATGGCGGTTGAAGACCTGCACGAAGCGAAGAATGTCTATTTCGTACTCTCCTCCATATCACATTTCACGGCTGTGGCGGATTTGGTACATGTTTGTTTCCCTCCCCTTTCTTCCCCTCCCGAATTACTGGCTAATATTTTGACGATACATTACAGAGCGGGCTCGACTTGGCGCAAGGAAACGTCGGTCTCATGGCGCCCAAAATGGCCCACACCTTCTTCTGGTGGAATGAAACGCCCGATGACCACAAGCGTGCCGTGATCTTGCACTTCACAATCCTGGGCGTCCAGAACATCTTCAAAATCCTGTCCCCCTTCCTCCCCTGGGTTCAGGTCATCGACAAGCTGGCGGAAAAGCTCGATTCCTATGCTTCCGACCTCCAACGCGCCAAGGAGAACGAACACGTCGCGTGGCTCTTCATGCGAACCGCACATATCTTGAACTCGGAGTGGGGATGGACCATGCGGAATACTTGGGGCGCCCGCCAGGTCGCGCAGGAACGTGGTTTTTACATTCACGCTACGGGCTTCCGCGGTGATCGTACGCAGAGGTATTGGAGGGATGATTATGGTAAGAGGAGTGGGTACTGGTGGAATTACGGTGGGAAGAATTGGACTCCGAAGAAGAAGGGTTTCTGGAAAGCTGATAGCGAGGTTTGGGAAACCCCCAGTGGTGGGAATTGGAACGCTATGGATCGCTATACGGCTGATGGGTGGAAGCGTCGTAAGAATGAAAACCCCGAAGAGGGTGGGAATTTCATCCCGCCTTCGCATGGGGAGTATACGAAGCTTGGGTACTGGCAGGAGAAGACGAAGGATTACAATGATCTTGTCAAGTGGAAGGAAGAGAAAGATAAGGATGGGTCACGGAAGAAGGTTGATATGTATAAGATGGGATGGTCGGTGTTTACCGGTTGGATCCCGGAGTCACTTATTGGGATTAACATGTGGACGTCACAATCTCAGTCTCAGGATCGTTCGGCGGAGTTCAACACAGCTGATCTAGCTATGTCTATTGGAAAGATGACCAGTGATTCCCGTCAGGGGCTCAAGGCTGGTGTCGCAGAGCTTATGAACCCAACCAACATCTCTAAGACAGGCAAGTTCACCGAGTGACACTTTGTGATTCGATTCATCAACTGACGTTATACTCACTCAGGCGAAACCACACTCTCGGTTCTCCTCGCAAGAGGCCACTACCTCCCAGCAAACGACCACATCCTGAAAAGCTTTGCGGCATCAGACATCGAGGAGTGAGCAAACCCCAACCCCCCCCCCCCAAGCCGCCAACTAACCTTCTAGCAGGCAGATAACCAAAAACGTCTTCTTCAAAACCCTGAACGCTGCGCTGAAGGCCCAACAAATCTACATAACCTGCACAACCGACATCAGAAAGCGCAGATTCCCCGGCAGTGGCACCGGGGGTGCCCATGCGCAGAGCTGCAAACAGGACAACTCGGGTCCACAAAACCTAAAAGCATGCGTCCCCTACACCCCTGCTCAGGCCGCAAGGCACGGCATTGGTAACAGTTATGATGGTGGCGAACTCGCCTGTTACATGTACAAATGGGCAGCGCGTGGCGCGAGAGCGAGACACCACAACGAAGTGCCCTTCGGCTCGGATGAGTGGGAAAGATGGGGGGTGTCAAGCGCCGAAATCATCACTTCTTCCGTCGGCTCCTATCTGGAGGACTTGGAAGCCTACGAGATCGTGAGCCCGATGAACGTGAACTCGTTGAGGACGGCGAAGAGTATCGCCAAACCGGACACCCCGGGAATTTTCACTGTCCCGGTCTGCATATCCAGACACAATCTGAACGCGCAGATCGAGAGCTTCTCCTTCCTGTCGGAGCTGAACCCGTACTCGGGCTCTAAGCACCTCCCATGCGATTGCGGCTTCTGGGGAGAGGATACGGAGAAGGTGTGGAAGGATGTGGGAATCTGGGACCAGTTTCCCGAGTATTACCGCCTCACCCTCTGCCCCAGGCAAGTGGACAGTCATACCAGAGACCCGCTGGAAAAATGGGTTTCCGGCTGCCGTCTCGAGACCAAAAAGTCTGGTCGCTCCCGCCGTTTCGGAAGGGATTCGCGCTGCGGAGTCGTGGTTTGGCTGCTCTCCGAGCTCAAGAAACGCGGCGTCCCGGCTGAACTCCCCGAGCCTTTGAGGTTGGCTATCTGGTGCCGCATCGAGAAAGGATGGTGGTCCCGTCTGAGAGAATGTAGAGACGTCACGGCGAATACCCCCTGGGGATCCATTATTGAGGAGTTGGATGGTGTGATTAGGAGGGTTGGAGAGGAAAATTTGGGGAACGAATTGACCGAGAGCGAGTCTTGGGAGCAAATGGAGGGGACGGACCCGGTTGAGGAGTTGCTAATGAAGCCATTTGGGTTGGGTGGGGTGGATGGAGAAGCTGCTTTGTGAGGAGGGAAGTTTGGCTGATTATGCTTTATTTTTCCCTCGGGATGCTCAAGTATATATATATATATATTTTTTTAAAGTTTTGTTGGGCAACCTGCTGATAGAGGTTAGGGGAGGTAGGCATGCTGATTAAAAAAGAAAAAGGAATTGCAAAATGATCCTCTTTAGCAGTTATGTATCACAATATAAATTGAATTATAGATATGGAAAAGAGTCCTACCCCCTTGACATCATGAAAAGTATGATATCGTAACTCCTCTGCGAAGGGTCTGGTTGTCACTTGGTGAGCTCGTATATACGGTACTGTGGATTACGTAATCACAACACCCCCTTCCATATCACACATTTCAACGGGTCAAGGGTAGTCCAAGTGAGGCGAACTGGTTCTGGTTGGTTTTCAGAGTTACCTAGCACAGAAAAGAGCGTATTTCTATGGTTTCTGGCTTTTTTTCCCTCTAAAAAAACTGACAAGACTGCAGTTTATTATGGCTATGTACTAGTACACTCACCAAACCTTGGCCTGGTATAGACTGGTGCGCTCCGGGTAAGCTCCAGTTAACTTCCACCCCGCCTCACTTATGCTCATACCCTACGGCACGAGAAGTACTCGTACCGCTGCCGGTACAATCCATGGGTTCGGGGTCGTCTCGTCCGATGAATTGGGAACGCCACACCAGCTATGATACCTCGGGAGATTGCCGTCAATTTGGCCATCTCCCGCTTTTCCCTGATGATGACGGTTTCTACTTTGTCAACGGCTTTTGCTCTGTTGACGGTTTCTACTCTGTTTATGGTTTCCGCTCTGTCGACAGCAGTGATGGGCGTGAGCATGATCGAGCGGATCATACGGGTTCTGCTCAACTATGATCTGATCGGGAGGAACGTATGACTGAGTGATCAATAAATAGCCCAATTACTGACCGAGTGATCGATCATATCTGGTACTCGTATACATTGTGACATGATTACCAAATATCTATATATAGCTGGGTGATCAATCATGATTGAGTTTAGTCGAGTAAAACCCGATCATGATCTGATCGTGGCCATCACTAAACTGTTGACAAAGCAGAAACCGTTGACAGAGTAAAAGCCATTGACAGAGTAGAAGCCATCGACTAGTGATTGCCACATGATCGATCACTCGATCATGCTCGTGTCCATCACTACAACAGTTTCGGTCAACAGTTTCTACTCTGTCAATGGATTTTACTTAGGGAACGGTTTCTACTCTGTCAATAGTTTCTGTCAATAGTTTCTACTCTGCCAACGGCTTTTACTCTGTCAACGGCTCCTACTCTGTCAACGGCTTCTACTCTGTCAACGGTCCTTTGCACCTAACCACCCTGTCTCCCCACGCCACTGTCTCCCCAGTGAACCCCGAGTACTAGTAGTCACCTGTGTGTACCACACAATATCATGCTCAGAGCGAAGAGACAGAATGATAATAAAATTACGATAGTGGAGGACCCCCCGTATGTCTATTACAGCACCAGGATAGAACTGAAATTTCCAAATATAGTACCGTACAATAGGAGAGGGTTTGTAAAAGCATTGGTTAGAAGGGGGGAGGGCAACTTGGCACTGAACAAGTGCTGAACACTGCCCCGATGGAATGAAAAAAAAAGGACTTTTTCATTGCCGGATGGAACATCGTGGTCTACGGTTTGACACTCCAGTGCAAAATCCGCAAAGTCACTTCTCCACCAAGAGCACACCTCAGGTTTAACACTTGACACGCCAGAAGTGATCCTAAAGTTTCTGTGCCCACAAGCGCTCGAGCACACTTAGGAGTAAGTTGCCGTGAGAACGTGACTGGCACATAGGCTACCATAGCAGACCACAGGCACAAGCTTGGGATACAAGTACTGTATGTATCATACTACCGGCCGGTCTAGTACTATAGTGCTGGTATGGTCACACCCGGGCAAGCCCCCTCTTACCAAGGATTCGGGGAAATCCGCCGATCCGCCGATCCAAATTAAGCACGGGGCATCTGGGTGCGTGGTGTTCAAGCTGGTGGATTTTAACCCGGTATTAACAGCTTCATATAGGGTTTCAAGACTACTGGGGACGGCTATGATATATATCATACCTCCCATGCAGATTATCTCCTTCGTCTATGATGACCAGCCAGAAGACAATATTTCTGAAAAATTTACAGCGTGGAGCTGTTCTCCGATTGATTGTTTATTGATGCCGGGATTAAATATCTGGAAATACTTGTTTGGTTGGATGTTGATGCGTTTCTTATAGGTGTTTTATATATATATATATACTCTAGCCAAGTGTTGCATACAATATCAATCTAATAATGTTACAGCCCTCGCCCTAATATCTCTTGAAGTGCATAAATAATAAAAATGGTAACTTACACTTGCACCGTATCGGCGTACGGCACTTATGCACAACAACCAATCGTCTAAGTCACTTGCATAAGTGCGAAAGCCCTTTCTAAGGGAAAGCCGCAACAAGCCGAGAGAAAACCTCACTTCTGCATCTCCTATTAGCCAAAAGTAATTGATGAATTTTGAAAATTTAATCATCCATGTAAATTCAGGGAAAAAAGGATTAAAAAAAAATCCTATGATACAAGAAGTTTAAACCGGTTCCATCCGGAATACAAGTTCCCATCGCCCCCTACCAAAACCCCAGTCATACCATCCATACGAATACCATATCTCCCAACTAGAAAAAGAAAGATACAAGATACGAAAAAAGAATAAAGTAACAAGATTTCACAAGTTTAAAGGAAAAGGAGGAAAAAGGGTAGACCAAAAAAAGAGAAAAAAAAAAGAATCTATTAATTCCGCCTCACTTTCTTCCCATCCCTCTCGCCATCCCCATTCCTCATAACCTCACCCCTCATAGCGGCAAGATCTGCCTCTGCCTCTTCACTACGAAGTGCGGGCGGCGGTGGTGCAACACCCGCTTTATTAACAAACGTAGTGCCAAACCCAGGAACACCATTGAGCACGAGACTTTCAATCTCACGAGTGTGCCTGGGCGGATTTGATCTGGTATTGTAATTTCCGTTGCTAACCTCCTCGTCGATTTCTAGCTCCGGGTGCGGAGTGACGATGCCAGGGTCCAGATTATCCTCCTCAGAGTCCCCATCATCGTAATGCAGCTGCGGCCTCTCTGTAAAGAATCGCACAGCAGCGAGCGAGGCTTGATTCCCGGCCATCTGCAATTCCTTCTCCGTGAAGAGTTTGTCAAAGGAGTAAACTGGCGCGTAGACCTGTTTGAGTAGTTCTTCTCTCCTGCGGCGGAGGGCTTCACGGTCTATGTTTTGCTGGGAGGAGGGGTCGAAGTTCATGATCGCCGAACTAGAGGATGGACTCGCGGCATCATGGATAGGCGGTGTGTGGGTTTCTTCGATTTCTTCCCTGTCACGGCGGGCGGCACGCTTACGCTTGCTGGTTGAGCTTGGCGGGTCAAAGTTTATGCCTACACCGAAGGAGAGGAGTTCTTCAACTTCGCCCGCACGACGGCGGGGTTTGCGGCGGGTTTCTTTATCTTCTTCTATTGGGCGGGAGGGTGAGGAGAGGCATGGGACCATGCCGAATTGGGATGGGTGGAGGAGGAGAGCGTTGGTTTCTGTGAGATCTGTGTAGGCTGATGTTGAAAGGGAGGAGAGTGAGGATAAGGCTGCTGAAGATGTTGATTCTTTCTCTGCGGCGAGCTTTTTGAGTTGTGTTTTTAGGCGGGCCATTAGACGAGTTTGAATTGTATTTGTCAGAGATTGGTGCTCGCTCCTAGCAAGGACCACTGAGCGTTTGTGCTGGAATTCTAGGGATGCTACTTTGTGATTATAGTTGTTCTGCGTCGGTTAGACGACTAGAACGTTCTTGGGTAGAGGGGGGTAAATACGTGAAGTAGAGCAAGTTGAGAATCTCTCTCTTCCATCCCCTCATTCACAGTTTCAATAAACTGTCCGTACCACCTCCCTGCCATTCCTGTAACCCCGACTCCACTCGCATCCTCTTTGCCCGTAGCCCCAGGACCGGCCCCAGCCCTCGCCCCATTGGCCGAAGAAGCTAGGTCAGGTAAACCCATCCGTTCAAGCTCCTCGTTAACCTGCGCCTGGATACCCTCCGGCGAATCATCCAAGAGCCGCATATCTCGCCCAGAAGCGTTGCATTTGGCAACTAGATGGATATCGGCCTGGATGGATGCAAGTTGTGCTCGGTAATGTAGATCCCGCACACGGGGGTTAGCAGGATTATGGAACGACGTGGTGAGAGCAGTGAGCTTCTCGCTCAGGGCGTGTCTACGTTTATCGCGTTTGCTCTGGGGAGGAGCAGGTGGGGGGAGGTGGTTAGGGTGGGGAGTGGGCGAAAGAGAGGGGGGGCTGGGCGATGATGGTGATCCCATTTCGGATGGCGTGTTGGTGGTGTTTATCGAAGGGGTGAGGTGAGGTCAACTTGGAATGAGAATGAAGGGTTTGAGCCAAAGGGGAGGCGCTCTGGGTTTGTTGGGGGTATCTGGGGGGTGTAGTTTTTCAGCCCGAAGCGGTGGCCTGTTTTCGTGAGAAATTTCCAAAAGCTCAGCAAGAGAGTAGGGAAGCGGAGGAAGGTTGAACGATGAGGGTGAGAAGAGGCTCACTCAGAACAACAGATGTTCGTCGGGTGGAACCACTGGGCATCGGGCCGCTCCACTTTGCCTCGCTAGTCCTCGGCCCGCCTGGAGAACAATCGCTTTGTTGAATGGAGCGTCTTGGCAACACCAAGCAAAACTGGATCTCTTGTCATAAGTTCACCCCACCTGTACAAAATGCAAGTACCGGTACTGTACCCGGAAGTGTCCATGAACACCTGAAAATATAATACCGGTAACCCTTGTCCCCATAGGGATTTGTGTGGAATTAGCTGAGGTAGTTTCCCGATTTTTGTTGATACACCCGAGTACGGATTAATGGCTTAACATGGGGTCATGTTGGGGGTGTTGACCAGGTGTGGGTGTTCGGAGTTCTCCATACACCAACGGCGTACTAGTCTAGTACGGTTAGCACCTTTCAACCCCGAAATCGATTTCCAAGCTGCAGGCTCCAGTGAACCCTGCCTCGAGGAAACTCTGAAAGTTGCTCTTTCTGGGAAGTACTCTGCGCACAAGTACCAGTTGTATCACGAATTTACACCAATTCCTCGCTCTCGGGGGGGGGTTTAGGCAGGCTCCTACACTGAACATAGGAAAACGTTTCGAAAGCTTTCCAGGTGCAGCTATATACCGGTATGTATGTAAAGATTAATAAAGAGTTTGCGCAGCGAGGCCCAGGTAGTGTTGACATAAGCTAACAGCAAGGCTTGGCCACCTTGTTCTTTAGTCCAAAAACCCATAGTCTAAACCAGATCTGGAATTGAGGGCCGTGGGTACCTACTTCCACTGCACTTTTATGCCTCCATTCGGGTATTATTTTATGACCATTGTTCTCAAGGACGATCCTGACAAGAGCAGTTTCAAGAAAGTTAAGAATTGGCCGGTGTATTGACCTGTTGGATGGAGTTTAAGAAGCTCAACAATTGTTGGGGGTCTGATGGGCTGTTGGTGGGAATGGCAACTCCTAGCAACATTGTTAATAATTCCCACCTACTCGAGTAGGCCTGTCTGCGCGGGCTCTCTAGTATTGTATCCTCCAACTATTTGTGGGGTCCTCGCGTTGCTGGGGCAACTAACTTAGTAAGCTTGCAATAATAATGAAGACTTTATTTCAGAGACGGTAGACTTCACAAGCATGTAGGAACTTCGGTTGGTGGTGGGTATACTCCAGATTAACCATATGGAATTGAATCCGGGCTGTGGAGGAAAGGATATACGCTCTTTGAGGAGCTACCGCTAACTGAAAGGTGAGGTTTTTACCCATTTTTGGTGCTGTGTAGTATCGGTATCATCATTCACTCGATCACTCACCCACACTCCACTCTACCCGGAACTCTACTTCGATCCACAAATCGCCATGACAGCCCCATTTCATTCTCCGCTCCCACGGCCCCGTCCTGGCCTCTGAAATTCGTCTTACCCCTCCGAGAGCTCAACCCTCCGCGCAAAAACCATCCATCTAGACACAGTCAAGAACCCGCACAAACATGCACCGTACACAAATCTGAACCCGAACGGACGCGTGCCGGCACCAGCCGACAACTCCGACTCCTCACTATTCATGGTGCGGGGGTCACTGCGATACTGCAGTATAGTCGAGCGGTACGACAAGGAGCCGAGATATCTTTCGGAGGTTTGGGAGGGAGCGCTAGCGGATCGGGATTTTATGTTTCCGATGACAGATTTCCGTTGATCGGCTCTGCTTGAGCTGTTTTTCTCGGGCTGATCGAATGGATGTAGGTTAGAGCCCTCGCTTTGGTCAAATGGTGCGACCCATGTACTTTCATGGCGGGGAGATTCCCACCGTGATTGTGAAATCTACGGATGAAGTCCCTCGTGTGCTGGGTGTATTAGATGTTTTGCCTAAAGATAAGGAGTATCTTGTTTGAGGGAGGGTCTCCTGCGCGGACTTGTCCTCTATTAGCTGGACTGGCTGCTCGGGAGCTTGCTGGAACTCAAGGGGCGAGAGAGGAGGGGTATCCATGGGTTGGGGCTTTGACGGCGGGGGTGGGGGAGAGGAGGTGGAGAGTGTTAAGGGGGCGTGTCAGCAGAGAAAGCGCTTATGGAACGAAGCAGGGGAATTTTATATTGAATACTTGGTTGGCCGGAGGATGAGATGCTGTTAAGTTTATGGTGGTATGGGGGATATATATATACAGGCAAGATATCCATCATTATGGCTTAAAGAGGCTTTAACGTATCCTCGGGACTGTCATACAAGAGTCAGCGGGATTATATCGAATGAACCGAAAATCCGAGTGTGGCACTTAGCTACCTCTCCGTAGCTTAATGGCAACAAGAGTTGCCGAAATTATCTTGTTCAACAAGATCTCATGTGATATTGCTAAGAATGCGGAGTGGGATTGCTGCTGACTGAACCAAAGCGTTTTGTTTCCCGATTTCCTTATCTTACCCTTGGCAGCGGATTCTGAGTAATACGCATATCACCACTCGGTAATATGTTGTAGGATCGTGCTAGTACATCTTAACACTGTTGCAGCACTACTGGGGCATCCATACCTTCTTCCGCGGGCGGGAGAAAATAGATGGTCCGACAGACACCGTCAAGGATAAAACAGTGGATACCTAGGGCAGAGGAGTTATCGGTCGTTGAGTATGGCCCCTATCGCATTGGGAGCTAGATGGATAAGAAAGCCAACAATATCTAGAATGAGTATAAGGGTAGGAAACTCGCCTTCTTCCCAAGAAATTCCTAACTCAGTGCCAGTCCTCATGGGGGGTATAAGCTCGGTAGCTAGCAAATATTGTCTTCTGGAGGTAAGGATGGGGTGCACTAATACAAGGCCTTATGCTGTTTGGCTAGCCGTACGATCGCGCGGTGCACAGGAACTTTACTATCGTTTCGCTAGCATCTGTTCTCAGGTGAAAGGTGAAATCGAAGACGGACAGGAGCCTAAGGAGCCAACATCAGCATGAGGGAGAAACAGGACATGCACAAAGGAGAGATATATAGATATCGATAACATCTTCCCCCCCGGGCACGCTCTACCTCTGTGTTCATAGGAAAATAGGAATGAAGAAGAATATCGGCACAACAAGGAAATTGTATATTTACCTGCTCAGAAGAGCGGCTCGGACGGTTCGTACATTACTTGTTAATGATCTTAAGCGCGCACAGCGAGCAAGCGTGGACGAAATGAGATGATCTGATCAGCCGGGGGAATGCTAATCGTGGTTGCTTGCAATATCCTTCTCCCCACCGCCTGAAGGCATGTCCGGGAGAGGGTAGAAGTAGTTATATCGAAGCATATCTAATTCAAAGGCCATATCCTACTTACCGCACTGGAGTCTTCTTTTCTATAGGGTTCTATCACAAACAAGGGAAGTAATTGACAGAACCTTCTTCTAAATCTCTTATAACAAAAGAAACATATGGTAAGAACTCATGCCCCTGGAGCTTTCCATAGATAACACCGCTGTGCCCAACCATGATCTACCGTCCTCACGATAGTTCCTAGGCACCCCACGGTACTCGATTGCGTCAGTTCACGGTCACCTCTGAGCACATTCTAGCATCAACATTACTAAGGCATACACTACCAGGAGCTTTGTCAGATACACAAGGGGACTGGTAGGCATAGGTTAGATATCAACTATTCTGGTGTGAACGAGGAGGGCCCCCTAGTGGTGAGCACCACGAGAAAAGATATATCTTATTATTTGCTAAGAGTAACTATTCACACCTGAACTTTTTTTTTTTTAAAAAAAAAAAACAAAAAAAAAACTCACACTCAGTTTATAGGGCGACTAATATGAGAGGGCGGTTCGATGGTAACTAGCCATCTCGTAGACCGGCATGGTCAACTTTGCACTGGAGGGTCCGCAATATATTGAGATATTGAAGTTGCTCTTGCAAGTTGGAGGAGGAGGAAAAACAATTATTTTTTCTTTTCGATAGTTCACCTCTTCTGCTACCCAGCGGGTCGTGGGCCTAACCCCTACGGTCGGGGTATGGTCCAGAGTCAGATTCTATGATATGGTATCATACCGCCTCGTAATAGGTTTTATGTGGCCTATGGCCCCATCCAGGGAGGCTAAGGTTTTCAGTTTCCCAGTTACCGTAGGGCAGGATTTTGGATTCTCCTGTCCTTCATGATGGATTATTCAATTGTAGATCCCTATGAGGGGAGCTGAACTCCCGGGCTCTCGCTAACTGCAGGGGTCAATTGGTTCTTGACATATGAGCCACTATGCTAACTAGATATTTCAAGCAATATTACCATGGGAACAAATACTTAGACTCTATTTAACTCGAGCCTTTCGTGAATTCAAAACGCCTTTTGAGTCGACAGGAGGGGTTAAAGAAGATGTTAAGGCATGTTATAGGGTACGTTAAATCATGTGTTTGACGAGATAACAGTTGCGAAACGCGTTTTGAATTCACGAATGGCTTGAGCCAGACAGAGCCTTATATTACTGGTGGGAAAACCGGGATTTTTTCGCAGAGGTTTGACAAAATAATCGCCATATTAAACATGGAAAGCACTCCCAGGGTAAGCGTAGCCCAGCAGGAAGAGAAAAACTAGACCATGATTACCGGCATCTAACAAAAAGGAACCCCTTCATATGCGGAGCGGTAATTACAGGGAGAGCATTGGCGATGGGAGAAGGTGGGTTTGGTCGTGAGCAGGCAAGCCATGGCTAGTTTCTGAGACGGTTACCCATTTCGAATGTAAAGCTGAAGGCCATCAGGCACATGCACAGTACATTGGTAAGCATGTAAAAGATGGGCGTTACAATATACGCGAATTGCGATGATCTCGCCCCGGGCATTGCGTCCAATTTTCAAGTTGGGGGTTACCAGCAGCATGCCACCCCATAATCACAAGTCATCACTCGGTGAAATACCGGTATCATACTGATGGCACGTGGGGTGGTTAGGAAGGACAAGACATTTTTTCTAACCACTGCCCTCGATCCACTGCTCGCAAGATATATATGCCCAAATCTGGACACGTGCCCAATTGCCTTCCTCTGAGTGGTTCAAATAATCTAACTGGAAGAGCCACTAATGTGATTCTGGAATCGCAGATCAAGCATCTTAGCCTCACTGGATAATAACTAGCCCCTCTACCGTCCCCGATTTCCTACATGACTTGAGCGTTGATGTTATTTTCCTTCCTCATTTCTCTGGTCTAGGGTGCTTAGCTACTCCCCGATGTCCTAAGTAGAGGAGTGTTGGACTGGAGGATAACTTAGCTCCCTGAATTCCTCTTGTGATCACAAAAACAACACATACTGTAGCACCGTTACCACTTGGGACAAACACGAATTGCTGGCCAAGTATTTTGGGTATATATATTTGGGACAGTCTATGCTGACGCATAATACAATGGGACATCCTGTGTATTGACAATTTTGTTTCTTCTACTGTACTGTATACCGTAAACAAAAAACCCTACCTTCAGCTTTTATTACTGTAGCTAGAAGCAAAGACTTAGTTAGTGTTGTCCTAAACAACTATCAAGTTGATAGCTACCTCAGATGATATTCTTTGTATAATAAGTACAGTATAATCAAATTATTTCTTCATAATTTCTATCTGCTGACAGGTCCAAAAGGTTGGGATAGGGCCAATTGACACTGACCAAAATGGTAATTTTTTGGGACGGGACAAGGAATGCTGACAGCTGACGGTCCTAAGTGGTAATGGTACTACAGTAGGAGGTGAACGGTCATTTTTATGGGGGAACGGAACGGAAAGGTCGTTGCCGAACAGGCCCTAACAGTAATGACAGGAGTATATATCAACGATAGAAAAACGACGAAGTCCTCAACCCCCTATTATTCAGGTAACTTGGGTCACCGCCAAACAAGCAAACAGGAAATGCTAACAAAGAAAAGACAATCTTCGGCTCTCTAGCCTCCGGGCCCTCCATACGGCCTTCCGCTTTCCTCCGTACCTTCCTTCCTTCCGCCATCCTTCCGGCGAAGGCATGTCTCCTGAAGACTCCCGCTCACTCCCGTGCAAATACGTACACTCCCGCAATCCAAGCGCTTTCCCGAGAAAGCCAAATTGTGCAGGTGTGCGCCCGAAGCCATATCACTTCCGAAAACCCCAGCGCTTTCCTGAAGCCTATGCTAACAAACAAACCATCGTGAGAGCATGCTGAGCGACACCTCACGATTTCCGATATAACAGACAGGGTTCAACAAGTCCTGTTTATCCTGCATGGCCGATCAAGCAGGGGGAGGATCTTTCTACCACACTCGGGTGTAGCATCAGTTAGCGCTCCACGGCGGTAAAATAAATACATGGCAGGTGAGAAGCGGAGAAGCTGACACTAAAAGCCCCCTTCCGGTTCACCTCAACCCCGTCTCCCTTGTATCAGAACCCCCCCCCCACTCTCCCAGCTCTAATGTCACGGAAGAATCCTCTGCAATGTTTAGCACTCGTTATGGGTAGGTAGCAGGGAATAATAGGACTTATTTATTTACATTACACGTCCGTTTCTAGACCAGGGTCACACGAGTGAACGCCCATGATATGTGACAGAACATCCTATAAAGGCCAGAGTGGTCTACCCGGGTGAAGTTAGACAGACCTAACGAGCTTACAGAGCCCTCTCATTTACCACACCCAACTTCTTCAACCCCTCACCACTACGATGACCGCCAATTCTAGTCCCTACCACACTATGCCACTGTGCCTGTGGCAACCAGTTGCTATTTTGGTGCAGGTAAACGGCGTGAACAGAGTAAGGTACTGGGTTAGTTCTGAAAAAGAGAGGGCTGATCTCTGAGGAAAAGAGTACGGGGTAATCTATCACCCCTTCCCCAGAAAAACTGTCAAACTTTGCGCAGTTTTCTATATTTGTTTACCGCTTGCACTACTCCTAGTAGAAACTTGTTTGTTCCTGAAACTTGGTAAGATTCACTTATTTGATGATTCTTGACTGGCTCTGTTTTATCTATTAGCCTGTTCGCCAAAGATGGTGATCGAGGTGCAGGAAAAGGTTTTGGAATTGTGTCATTGAAATTTTACTGCCTGATATTTCATCATTTCCCATCAGTGCCGGAAGTGGATAGAAGTTCGGTAGAAACATAGGGAGGGAAAAATTACACCTAGTTGATCAGTGCTATCTGAAAGCCCACATATATATAGCTGCAAGGCCAGAGGCAGCTGGTGAACATGAGCTCATACTAGGTATGACGTACAATGGAAGATGAGAAGGAAGCGTCCAGGCAGTATTACTCCTTGAAAGTCAGCCCCCATAGGAAAGCTGTGGTAGAAG